AAAAAATATAATCAATTAGAATTTTAAAAAGTGAGTAAGTGGATGTCGCTCTGTTGTCCAACATAGGCTAACGTGGGTCACTGTAATGGGTGCTTTTAATTCAATGATATGAAATCATTGAATACTGAGGTCTGTCAGTCTATAGTTTGTATATTTGATAATGTAATTGTGATTATAGTAATATTTAATAGTATATTATAGTATTAATTATAATATTACTAAGTAATTTAGTATATTTGATGATATTATTGTGATTCAAGTAATTTATTTTACTTGTAATCATTAGTACTACAGTAGATTAAATTCATTTTCAAAAATGTACTTTTGAAAAGTCACCGTGTGTATAAAATATAATAATATACTTTAAATGTTCGAGATCAGTCATATTATTATTATCGATATTATCTTCAAAAATCATTAGATGCCAAAATCGATAGTATCGTGTCACTAAAATCGATGGTTCATAAATTGTACTGTATACATGTAAAAGGTGTATACATGTGTGTGAGTTCGTGCGTTACTTACTTACAATATGGATACAATTTATCTATGATAGGTACTTTATGATAGTATATTATTATATTAATAACTTATGTGGGTATTATTTTATGTGAAGAAGGTATGGGAACATGTATATATAATATATCTTGTTGGTTGTTAGATTCGATAAGATATAGCAAATACGTCTGAAAATTCTAAATTCCCTCCTCATGTTTGGTCTGAATGTTCTAATAGTATAAAAAGAACAACAAATGCATGTAAAGCTTTTCACTCGAAATTTAATTCATATTTTTACTCTAGTCATCCACATATTTTTCAATTAATTTACGTCTTAAAATCATTCCATATTAATACATATGTCTTAACTAATAGCGTTAATACTAAAAAGAAAGATTATAGAAAAAAAAAAACATTTAAAATTAGATTACTTAAATAAACAAATTGAAAGTTTAAAAAAAAAACGATATTTCAAAATTAAATTTTACAATTAGCGTTTCATTTAAATTTCAACCAATATAAATATTCATAACATATGATTTTTTTATTATTTTTGTATTTATTAAATGTTTAACATACATTTTTTTATTATTATAATATTATTATTATTATTAATATTGCAATTGAATTTAACTGATAATTTATTATAACCATTTTTATATTGTTATTATTATAAATTAAATTTGTATCATCAATGTACATTTTTATATCGATTAAATCGATATTTTCGGGACGCAATTAGGTCATAGAAAAAGGTATACCGGGACACAAATACGCTATGATCTTTTTGAATCTTTTTTTTTGCGGGACGCAACTCACCTACTGATAATAATTTCGGACACAAGTAGTATGCTCCCAAAAAATTAACATTAATCATTATTCTTGGTTATTTAATATGTAGGTAATAAAGTCCACATTTGAACATAAAAACTAAAAAAAAAAAATTGTGCTTATATATTTTTAGATTTTTTGGTAACAAAATAACCTACGTGAATGGAACGTAGCTTTAAATTTTCAACCCTTAGCTATAAAAGTTGAATATTTTAAAAATATATACCTATAAAATTATTTGTGAATTTTGAATGATATGGATGAAACTTTAAATCCTAATAAAAAAAATAAACTTAGGTATGTATTTTTAATACTTTTCAATTCATATTGATATTAAATCAGGAAATTTGTATTAAATTGTCAAGCTTTTTGACGCAACAAATAAAATTGTATTGACAATTATAGAAAAAAAGACTAAAAAAATTGAAAATTGAAAATGTCCGTAAACAGCTCAAAACGAGTCAATATATTTTGGAAATGATATCAACTATCAAGTATATGAATTTATGAAATAAACATATGGCGTAAATTTCAAGTGTCTACACTAATTTGTTTTTGAATTACAGCAAATTATGAAAATCGCTTCAAGAGAAATCGAGTTAATATCCAATGTTGTAAAAATTTCAACTTCAAACGCTCATAAAAATCAAATTTGTCTTTCCGTTCGAATTTTTTTTTTATATTGGTAGACAAACTTATAAGCTATCGTATTAAATTTTAAAATCTAAGGTATAAAAAAATGTAATTAATATTATATATCCATAGATATAAAAAAAGTGAATAAGTTATATTGCTATTTTAAAACCTGCCTACCTAATTTATTTTACTATATTTCTATATACTTGTATTTATAATCAATAGTAGGTCGCCGGTGTTATACAAGTACGGTATAAATAGGCCAACTAAAATTAGTCTAAATATTATTTAAATGTTAATGTCGTATAGAAAAAAATAATAATGTATTAGACAATTTGAAGTCCCCGTAAATATTGTTTAATTACTTCAAAATAACTAAAACTGTTACCTTTTCTTTGTTAAATATTCAATTTTGTCAAAATTTTAAGTACAAACTCTGATAATAAAAAACCATACCCACCTATGTGTTTATAATATTATTAAATTTGTGAAAGAACGACTTGTATAGGATCTTATACTACATTTTCAAGCTATTCGACCAATCAAAAATATTTATATAAATCTTAAAAAGAAATTTCAAATGACTTTGAACTTTGACACATGATGTTTTTAATTTCTCTTGGGTTCAACACATCGGAGAAAATTGTGGAATTGTCTAGACTCTAGAGTAAACTTGTTTTGAATAACATAAGCTTTTAATAATCGTGTAATAATTAAGAACACATAATAAATTAATAATATGAATAATAATGATTGATAAATAACTCTAAACACAAAACATCGAACCATAAAATAAGGTTTATTTTAAATTATTATCCTTTTTGTTGTATTATCTACTCTAAAAACGGCGATAAGAAAATTGCTTGTAAAGAAACATTTCCAGTTACAAAAATAATCCATATACACAGTTTTTCATCATTTTCTGTATTCCCTATTCAACTTCAAAACGTGTTCATTGATCTGATGGTAAGTGGAAGAAAGTTTTCCGAAACAACTTGTATATACATAAGAAAACGTTAGAGTACTAAGAATCTCTGTTCGAACAGATAATTTGATAAAACCGTGCTCACCAACCCAAAGGCACTATAGCATTTGTTTTTAGAATTATATATATTCTTGGAATAGAAATTGACTATACCAACAATCATCAAAAGTTCTCGTTTTTCATTATTCAATAGTATAAACGATTTTAATTAAAACGTTAATGATTTTAGAAAGTATTGATTTTGAAAACACATCATATAAATGAATAATGGTACTATCTATACTTAAAATATGTTACACAATAATTAAATAAATTAAATTCTTAACTTAGGACACGAGTGGTCAAATAAAGTTCTATACTAACACAATTCATAATAAATTGGTCGTTTATCTTAAAATATAAAAAATGCATAAAAATATGTAATCAGAGTATCAAAGTATACCTTTAAAACTATCAAATGTATTACAAAAAAATGTGTTAAAAAATTAATCTATTCATAAGGCACTTAAGAAGACACTACACCCTCGAGTGTTGTCTCCGTATTACAACTAATGTAAAACATGGCAAAAACTTTTCTGCGCGGGGAAAAACCGAAAAGGCTACAGTAGTCATAACGAAGAAACGAAATGTTCACACCATCAAAAAAAGAATTTTGGCTGTGAAATATCATTTTTATTTTTTCGATGACTACAAAAAAAATTATTTGAATTTGAAAAAAACATAAAAAATAATGGATTTTGAAACAGTAAGAACTTATTTCGTATACGCGATGTCTAAAAAATAAAAACGTTATTTGACAGATAATGTTCTCAACCATATTGTATATCAATTTGGTCTATCGCTGCAGAGTGGTTCTATCCCGCGCAAAACAGTTTTTGCTGTTGTACATGTGTAAGATGAAAACAACACATGCTGGTGTAGCGTTCTCTTAATAGAAAACGTATCATATTCTCGAATTCGTGAACACTATCTAACAAATAACAATGATGCCTAGTATACTTAATACTAATGGGTACTGCTCATAATATGTAAAAGTATGAGTGTAAGAGAATGAAATGCTTGAGTGAGCACTTATACTCAGTAAATCTAATAATAAAAATAATGTATTTTTATAAATGTTCTTTGAAAGCTAAAATTAAACTAATATATTGTATGAAAACACTATCCATAATTTATTATTAACCTTAAATAAAAACCGAGTAGAAGTTGGTACAATCGCTCTCCTAGGTGTCGAGCACCTCATTATATTGAGTAAAGTCACTGTAATCTACACATCGACATTTATAGAAAAAAAAATGTAAGACAGTCTAAGCAAACCCTTTTTGGTATTCGATGCAACCAAACAACTTTTTTAATAATAATATCAACATTTTAATAAATTTTCGTATTTTTTTTATTCGTTTCCTGATTGTTTTAAAAAGTGCTGAGACTTTTAAATGTTGACCTCCCAAAAATACAAACTAGATCCAATTTGCTGACATAAGACTTCATTTAATTTGATGATTTGACCTTTTTTGTTACTAGAAAAAATATATAAAACATAACTACATCATTGTTAAACCGATTCATTTATCTCTCCGCTCAGAATCAAAGTCTATCAGTAAAACTTATAAAATAAAAATATATTAGAGTAGGTAGGCACTTGTTTTAAAATTTAAATTTCAAACAAAAATCAAGATACAATTTTATAAATGTTTTAATGTGTTAACAATTTTAATTAATTACAATATTATTCACAAATTCATATAGTACGGGAATTTATATTAGGTATTAAAATTAAATTTTATTCAACAATATTTTATTCTTCTATTCCGAAAATAAAGAATGCCTTAAGTAATATAGTAATCCACGTTTTACAAAATGTGTCTTTTTTGTTTGTTTTACATCTATTTACTCTCTAATAGATTATTATTAATTGTTATTGATAACATATCGGAATGTCTTGAACTTCCTCTTCAGAATCTTTCAATCAAACATAATTCTAATATATTTTTTAATCTATGTTCTTATATTATGTCAACATTATATTATTAATTATTATGTTTTATAGATGTTAAGTCTTATTGGGAAGACCCTCTGCCTACGTATGAAATGGCTAATATACACTATGCACAACCAGGAGAATTGGTCAGACTATACTGTGAGGGTTTCGTAGGTAAATATTATATCAACGATTGTTTACTTATTATGCAACATACTAGTTTATTCTCTTCTGTGTGTTAGACAAATATAATTAAATAAACTATGAAATGCGATTAATGCAGGTAAAGTTGGTCTTCCGGATGCCGTCAACACTATAACGTGGAAGAAAATCAGTGAAAAACAAGCGATTGTTTCAAACGAAAAATACAAAATAGAAGAAGTGATTAGGTATCATATTATAATATAAGACATCATACTTACTTAAAAACAAAATCAGCAAACTTAATATTCGCAGAAATTATGCGTGGTTTTAATGTTTGTAAATATTTTTTTTTTCTATAGAGAAAATGACCAAGTATTGGGAGCATTCCTATTCATAAACAAAATTGAAGAGACTGACTATGGACAGTATATGTGCTCCATCAGCAATACTGATGACCAAATTGTGCAACAGTTTACTAACATCACAAAACCCGGTGAGTTGTATTATTGTTTGTCCTTAATGCCTGAGGGTAATACTACTGACATAGGTAATAATTTATACCAGTGTTTCCCAGCCTTGAAAACTTGAATTTTTAATTTTGACAAATTAAATTATGTAAAAAAAAAGTGTTCATGTGTCGCGTCTTATAAAAACTAATCAAAACATGCCGCAATGAAAAAAAAGTTTGGGAGCCACTGGTTTATACTAACAAGTTTAATGTACCTAATCCAAATCATACATGACTACACTACATGAGAGCATATTCATAATTTGACATAGGTAGTACCTATAATCTTTACCACACATCTCAAACGGCCAGTGAACCGTTCCTTAGTTTTTTAATAAATATTTTTTAGATCTTGAACGGAAGCTGATAAATGTGTAGATTTACCATGGTATATTATGTATGTGTAGTTTTTTGCTCGTGTTTGTACACTTACACGAAAAGTAATAGAAAACAGGTTTTTAACGAAATCCAGTAAAAATTTAATATTTATAATATAACATAATGTTTTGTATTCAGCTATTTTGATACCCATATAAAATTCCATATTCGTTTGAAACTAAAAAATTAGCCAGTTAAAAATAATGAATAAATAGGTACTCTTCTATAAATCGTATCATCAAATATCAACATAACAAACTGTGAGATAATATTTCATAATATTTAATAAGTTAATTTTCACAGAAAATGATTTTCATATTTGGAACAATGATGACTATCAGTCGTCAGACTGTATAAAAACTATGCGCTCAGACGGTACTGCACTTTCGTTCTTATTTCCATACTTACGACTTATTAGCTATGATTTTTTAAATCTTTTATTTATACCTATATATTTGTACATTATAATACTTGAATTATGATACTTGATAATATTTACTAATATATGCCAACTAAGTTTAACGTTTAATAGTAGGTACCTACTGATTTGGACAGGTTAGAATGGCTAAAGTATGTTGTATTTTGTGTACGTATATAGTGTACGGATATCACTTCACTGTGGTTTATATATTGATATTTGACATTGTATAATGTATATAATTTTGTTTGTATAGCGAACTTCATATGGGTTAAAATTGTTTTAGACAACTTTGCATTACCCATAACTGGTTATATATTAATGTTACTAATTACTTTATGCTGTTACCGTTCTAATAATTAATATTGTTAAGTGTTAACTATATTTCTCTCTCTTGAATTTTATATTTGAATTCTTAAATAAGATAATATTAATAATAATAAGATAAATTATAGTGTTTAGGGATAGAATGTAAAAAAATATTTTATATTGTGACTATTACATAACGTATGGGAAAATGTTAACATATTATATATTTATATGTATTTATAATATATGTGACATAAGCAATATAGTAATATTTTTTCCCAATCACAATACGTCAATCTGATGATGGTTAATTTTAAGTTTTAAATACTTGAACATTACATCATTTTGTATATTATAGTTGAATCGATTGTCAATAATAATATATGTTTTGTTGTTTATTTTTCAGTGTTTAACTACGAACAATCGGATAAAAAAGTGCAAAGAGACCTTAAATTGATAATTTTTGTCATGATTGCGTTAATTTTGATCGTTTGGAAACGCCGGTGGTTCTACTTGACATATCAAAAGCTGAAGAAAAAATTAGAAAGTGATAAATATGCGCTATGTAAGGTTTTTTTAAATTATATTTATAAGAACAATAAAATACGACAATATAATATGTTTCATTCTTCTTTTTATTTCTATAATTATTTACATGTGGCTTACGTATGTGTTTTTATTTACGATGTTTACAGCGGAGAAAACTATATATAATGTAATAGTATTTTACGACGAAGCGAACAAAGAAAATGCCCAATACTTGGTGGAAAATATGGAACATCGTGATAATTATATAACTAAGAAATATCACATCGATTTCGTCGAAGGTTCGTTTATTTTCATACATAATATAATGTTTTATTTTAATTTACTTCGTTCTTTCAGACTTAATCAAAACACAAACAGATTTGGTTAAAGGTTTTGACTTTGCTATATATTTATTATCTTCAGACGATAAAATTACATCGTTATTGATGAAAAAATCAACGCCAACATCTTTCGTTCAAGACAACGTCATTCCTAAGAAATACATAATCGTAAGTAAATCATATAACAGTTATTAATCAATAAACTTATAAACGTCAAAACGGTTTTTTGTTGTTGTACTGATGTTTGCACTCTCTAGTTTAGTTAGGTTAGGTTAGGTTAGATAAGTTAGAGTAACATTACGTTGTATGATTAAACTAATAACTATTGGCTTTCGGTGTACATCTTTTTGAAATTTTGATATATCGTTATAGGATTTAATCTGCCCAACGTACTATATTAATTGTATTATAATAAAACCAGCATTGGTCAAGACCAGTCAATATAACAAATAATTTTACTGCTTCTGTAACAGGATTTAATAATTTTATCGTAGTACAGTTAGAAAATAAGTAAGTATACATAACAATTCCAAAAATCAGAATTTGGATAAATTAATTATTAAAGGAAAAACGGTAGTTAACATGCTTGTGGGGGGGGGGGAAGTTATAGATATATTTGATGCAATTTACATTCATCTTTTACCTTACCTACAAAATAAAATTTATGAACCTTTGACTTTTGATAATGGTGCTGTCATACGACTAGACACAATGTTTTAGTGTCATATTAACCTAACCTAACCCTAGACACAATGTTTTAGTGTCATATTAAAGCATATAAAATGTCCTACAAATTCTGTTATTCTGATAACTTAATGTTATAGAATACACTGTACAATACCTTATAGAAGAAAAAAAGCAAAATTATTACTTCTAAAAATAATTGGGATTTGGATTTTGGGAACGACAATAACACAACTTGGGGAAAACTGGAATTTCTACCCAAATTTTGTTTTAACAAAATCGATTTTTTTTTAACTCAATAATGAGCATCAAACTGCAGAGACTCGAAATTTTCATTGATTATTCATACATCCAATTACTAGATATGAAATAATTTTCAAAATATTTTAGCACTATTTGTGTTATTTGTGGGTAGGTATTTAAATCTTTGACTTATTTTAGTCTTTTTCGATAAGTGTTCTGTTGGGTGATTAATAATTATTGATTTTACTATACAATGACTCATTCAAGTGAAAACATTTTTTAAACATTATTTTACAATATATTATATAATGACTCATTGTAAAGTAAGGAATTATTAATCACCCAATTTCCAATCACTCACCCGCCTACCATATTATACTATGTGTGTTGATAAGGCAACGCTAAACGGGTTTGTTGTGCCCGCACGACCCATACACTTGATACATTTTAGCAGTGAGGTAGTTAGACCAGTCCGGTCCAAAAAATTTTATTCCAGACCACTAAAGTCAGGTACTACGGACCAATAAGTTCGGTGACAGGCTTGATTGCTTGAAACTGTCTATACCACACACCTCATTTTTGGATCATAGTCTGGCTCGGTGGTCTAAACCCATACGAGTAATGCACTTTACAATCGTGTCTTATGTAATCAATACACTCATTTGAGATTTGTCCCAATACTGTGCCCAATACCTATTACATATATATAACTACCCCAGATGAAATGCATACTTTTAAAAATTGATAGGTATATAATATAATTACTACTCGACGTTTTTTAAGATTAACTATTATAGCATATACAGCGTATATTACCATTCAATGTAATTTACCAATCCTTGCAATATTGTCAACTTAGTCTACTATTCAGAGTAGCCATTAAGTAATCCACACATAATGATACCTAATATTTTCATATCGCACGTTCCAGGACTGTAGCAATATGCCCGTGACGCCAACGAAATCGTGGTGTGACAGGGTCCTGGCGGATCTGAGCAGCGACGACCACGCGAAGCGAAACAAAAATACCTCGAACAAGTTGATGAGAATCGTCTAAATGCAATTGTAACAACGTTCGGTAGCCGTCAATGTCATAATATAATAATTATATTATTTTGTCGAAACATAGTATTCCTATACACACCAAACCTTATATAACCACGGGATGAGATTCCATATAAACAAAACAAATATCTTTATTTATTATTGTTATATAATCTAATATAAAATATTATATAGGTACCTCTAATATTATTATTGATTTCGTTAGGATAATAAATAATAATTTATGTTATTATTACTATTTACAACCGACATGTCCCATTATATAATATAATATGCTGTATGCGATTTGCGTGTATTAATGCATACCTTTATATTTTGTAGTGTATACCTACGCGCGTGTATTAATTTTTGATATCCTATATGGGGGCGCGACTTATTATTGTAATGAATAACATCGTAGTTTTTGTGCGTGTTTTTTATCCGTGTTCTACCAGGGAAATTGAACGGACAAATTTAACGTAGGGTCAATTGTTGTTATTATTATTACGATGTGGCTTACAGCGGTACGATTTTAGTAATTTATTTAGTATTGGTTTAAGTCGACCGGTCTGTGTGTATAATTATTATTTATGTAAACAGTATTAATTTGTGCCGCGGGGAAGTGATCAATCAGCAATTCTTCCTCGCACAACCCTAACTTTGCTGATCATGTTATAATATAATGTTATATGTTTGTTTCCTTCGATTGTCGCCATATTTCTCTCTCTCTCTTTCTATCTCTGTCTCTCTCCTCTCTCTCTATCTATATAATATATTACGTCCCTTACACCCTCGATCTTAGAGAGCGAATCGAGGTTTTGATTAACTTTGTTTAATCACCTAGGTTCAGTATTGGAGATAACATGTAATTTTAATATTATAAAATGCCTATTATTAAATTTTTTAATTTTTATTTTTTATTTCATAATAATCCTATATTTGTATATTGTTAACCTTAACATATTTTCTTTTGCTTCCTTTTACACAATCTTGTACCGTTGTTCTGTACATTTCTAAATTTTTATCCAGTCTCAATACAACTACTGGTATTTTAAAATGAAAATATCATAGTATCTTTATAAAACCTGTGGGTCAATAAGTGACATTTAATGTGGTGGCAAGAAATATGAGACGTTTTAGCGGCATTGCTCGTAATTGTTTCTGCGAAATAACGAAATATGATAATATTCATCAAGTATACCTGCTTATGACCTACGTAGTCATAATATATTTAATTGATCTGCCGTTGGTCTGTGTTAAATGATAATCATATAATTTGTGTTGAACATGATCCGGATGACTGTGTATACTAATCAGCCAGCATTAGCAGTGCGTAAAAACGGAACGGCAGTGGATTACGGTCTGTCAGCGATGCGCGCGCACCAAAGTCAGATTCCTCTAGATCCACTTGATGTTATACGGCCAGTGATTTCAGGCGGAGCATCGTTCCGGAACGAAGACGACGATCGATTTAGTTCGGCGTTTGCGATCAGATCGAAACTTTAAATGAGCTTCATGAAGTTGAGAAATCCACAAATTGAAGTACCTCAATTTTCTAGTCGATGAGTAAAATAGGCTAATATCTTGAAGTCTGAATGATTATCCCGTAAACATATAATATATCTATATATATATGTATACGTATTATTTTACATCATTACATACCACACGCGTCCGTATATAATTATTTTAGTATAACTACAAAATATGTTTGTATTTTATTTATCACATAATACTATCTTTACATGATGGATGGATTTATAATTTATAATTTATAGCAACTTCATGAATAAACAAATAACAGTAATGATCAAAATTAAACATTTACGTATGTTTATATACATATATATTATATATCATATTGAAGTATATTATACTGTTTAGTGTAGTATACTAGTACTACTATAAAGTATATTACTACCGTGCATATTATAGTATTACATACCTACACCTAGTTCATATACCTATATTTACAGGAAATACCATAGTATGTGGATAATATAATGCAGAAATAAGAAGACGTCTACATAATATCTTAATACCTACCTACATAAAGCTTCAATGACAAACGTTTCAAAGAAAGTATTCTTTTTTCCAACTATACCTATACCTATTTCTTGGGTAAGACATTTGATTTCATATCCAATTAAAATAACCAGTATAAATAATGATGGCAAATCAAATCCATAAGTCTTGCATACGGAAAATAACCTTACCTATATCCGTACAAAAATGAAAAAGAGCGTTTTAATGAATTTATAGTGCATAAAAAAAGGTCATTAGTAGGGATTGGGCTTAAATGACCTAAAACCATGCCTTTTGACCTTATGCAAATACCCTTAAAAATGTTTTTATTTTTATTTTATTATATCGATTTAAAAAATATTTAAGAAAGTTAATAATTCTAAGATTGAACAATTATTTTTTACATATTATACTATTATTGTTTAAATACTTAATGTTGCAATACAACTAAAAAAGTAAATTACCTATACCTACAACAAAACCTGATGGCATAGATCTGAATTAAATCTATATGGCAGATCAATTAAAATAATAATACTCAGGTTACATGCACTCCTCTAAACAGTTTTCAATTTCCTTAATAACGACAGAGTGTCTATGTTCTTGTCTTAATTATTCTGTATATTTTGTTTCCAACGTGGTTTTCAAAATAACTGGATAATTCATCAGCAATTTATTTCATCAGATTACAGTATTAGGTATTTCAACTTATACATTATTTAATTTGTATTGAATGATACATAAATCATTCAATTACAATTTAATTATATTTTTTATGTTTTTATTTTTTTAACTTGATGATTTAATATACAATGAGTTGATCGCATATTATTATATTAAATTAACTAAAGCTAGCTATTAGTTAATAGTTAATTAATATATAATATCAATAAATAATTATCCTTTTAAATACAAATTAATAAATTATACAATCGATGTTCAACTTTGACATTCTCGGTAATCCACAGGAATTAGGAGTCGCTAAAATACTTAAGTAATACCAAATTCTACCTACCTATTTCTTTTTTGTTGAGTTATTTTCATTAAAATATATGTAGTCCCATAGTAATAACACACAACTTAATGTGTTGTTATTTGGGAAAATAACTAATAAGTTATAGGTGGTCGGTGGTATCGAGCTATTGTAATTACGTTGATCGTTACTACATCGTCATCATTTGGTTACTCAGCGGATGACTCGCACAGGCTATTGTCGTATGTCAACGTGTTATAATAGTGTATTAGTGTATCGATACGAAATGTTGAGTAATTGTAGATATTAGTAGAAGTTGTTTATCCAATATTAGACTTTTCTTTGAAAAATGTCAAGTAATCTTCAATAGCCACTATTGTCATTGGTCTATGATGGTTACTGTCGTTATCGGTAACTGATGAATGATGATAGTGTAGCAAAGCTAAAAATTGAAAACTTCATCGTGTTTTCAAATCAATCAAGAATTATTACCCTCCGAATACCAAAACAAACAATATGAAAATTATATAATTTAACTAATTTAAGACACAGTTGTCTTCAGTTACGAAAATACGCCTCAATCACTTCGATCGACGATTAATCTCTCAGGTTATCAAAGTTTAAAAAATGAATAAAAAAAAAATCAACTTGAGTAAAATTAATAGGGAAGGGGAACACGAGCGCCGTCAGGCAAATGCATTTTTACACTGAAAACTGCAGTCTATAACTCTCGATTCTTAAACCCATTACATTATTTACAATAAATAGTTTATTAACGAATGATTAATAATAGGTGTTCCATCAAAATGTTGTCAATGTTTAATAAAAGGCAAACAAAAAAATCAACTGGAGTGACATCAAACATAGTTTGATTTCGGTTTTGGTTTAGTAAATACGTGAATAAGATTCAGTGCAATGTGGAAAGAAGTGGGGACATTTTATAAAATTTAAACTACAAAATAGTTTGTAAATTTTCAATTTAATAAATGTTGTCAAAACTTGAACTTTAAATGCTTTTAAAACAAAAATGTGCCCATGTATTTTGAATAATATATTTCAACTGCTTTTAGTAGGTACAATATTGACAGGCAAACGGCCGTGTCGGCCAAAACACAATTTTTCAGGATAGTGAAAAAACAAATTTTTTTTTCTGAATATTATTTTCAATAATAAATCTTAAGCTACGCAGATTAAATTTAAGTGGACAGTAATGCAAAGTTATTGTGATACATTGATGAACTTAAATTTAAAAATAACCAATCGGTTCAATAATTATTAATAAAATGGCGGATAATAAGTCTAATTATAATATTACCTGAATTGGCTGAATTGTGGTGGATACTTTAACTTGACAAAAATAATAACGCTGGTCGTCGATCGATAATCATTTTTTACTAGACACGTCGTAATAATCTATTATTGTGATAACTATTAATTTTTTACGATATAACAATTGTATTTTATCCGCGCACTTATAAATAAACCATTTTTTTGTCCTCAAGAAAATATGAATACGGCTAAAAGAAATATTAAATAACTTAGGGATTGTTGTAGCTAGAACCACTAGAGTGAGATCATTATCGGTGTATTTTTTTGCGCCTTATTAATATATTGCTATGGCGGATACGTTCAAAGTGACGGATACGGACGTTTGACTGTTAGCCATCAATATATCAGGAGCCTTGTATTGAATTTTAAAGTTCTTTGACGCAACATCAATGATCCTTTTACTTAAACTTGTGGATATGTTGGCCAATCAGAATAAACTTTTAATCCGTGTCGAACTTCTTCGTCAGACAAAATGTCAAATGTTTCATAATCAATGTTATTGTAAATAATTTTATATTAATAGTAAGTAATGACCAAATACTATTTTAACAAAATTATACCTTTTTTTCCAATTTGAACCGTCGGCGCCGCGGGCACCTTTTGTTGGAACAAAATTATACCTATTATACTAATTATAAATAACACTATATTTTAATACTTACCAACCCTGTTTGATTTAATATTTGGATCAACTGATTGCTAAATCCACAGCGAGCAACATGTCTGTTGCCTTTAATATAAATGCCATAACATCAGCTTTATGTGTAAGTAATTTAAGCCTGAAACAAAATAAAAATTTAACCCAAACTTTAAAAATATTAATTGAAAATTTAGGTAAAATCCATTATAGTTAATAATCGTACCATACAATATAATGGCCTGGGAGGTAATTGAAGTAAGTTAACAAGACTGTTTAAACTGTTCAAATAAGTGTAAAGAAATTTACAGCAAAAAAAAGTAATCCGTCGTGAGACGCCTGGCAGATGTGAAACAACAAAACTGATGGTTATTAAAAGAATTTATGGTTAAAGAAAAAATTAATTAAATAAAAACTTAAAGTTTGTTTAGATAAAATAAATATATTTTTCTTATGATTCTTACTATAAGTTATATGTTCAGAATATAAATACAAGACAAAGAAATATTTTAAATATAAATCGTGTTCAAGGAATGTTTTCACAAAGATTGCATCGTGTATTGCAAAAGTACAAAGTATTACTAGTATTAGTACTATAATATAATTTTTTTTTATGTAAATGATTGCCATTGGTTACAAATATTTTATTGTTATTTATTTAACGTAATGCAGCTGGTAGTCTCGGCTTACAAGTCGGTCTTACCCCTAAGACGCATGAAAATGAATGATGTTCCACATCCAAAAATTAAAATAACCTTAAAAAGAATATTTTTTAACTAAAAAAGAGAAACATGTATATGTTTAAAAAAATATATAAAAGAAAAATAATTTACCTGTCATTAATTAATATATCAAATGCACTCAATTTGACACCAATTTCTTTAAGTAAATTTACAATTGCTGCCCTAAACTCACATTTTGGCTTAGACTTTGATCCTTTCATAAAAACCAAAATG